ATTGTGATCAGTGGAATAAAAATGCTCATGATGGGCAACGGCTGTTTGCTACTGAGGATGTTTGAACCTGGAGGTAAGAACTCATGAAAGCAAGAATCACTTACCACCGATGTAGATATATTTTGAAGCCGTCAACGCACCGTCTGGTCCCTGAGCCCTTCGAATGCCGAATTCAAACAACTTCGTTTTCGGACCCGCGGCTAGACGAAAACGCACAGCGTTTGTACAAACTAAACTAAAACAAACCACTGCATGAGATATGTCAGAGATAAGTCGTATACTGAGGTACAGCTCAAGATCTGTAAGTTAGACACATTTAAAACCACAAGATTACCTCGCGAAGTTGATCAGATTGAGGATCAGCGTTTCGAGGAGCTGACAGATAGCCAGTGGACCCTCAACAATAATCAGCGGCTCACGCGCAAACACGACGGATCCTTCCGCGATCGCTGAAATCTTGATCTTGCTGCAATCCAAAGACGACAGGTACAACCAAAATAATGGGTCAGTGTCAGAAGGCAGCAAGGTCTTAAGGTACTCGATGTCTAAAATGTTCTTCCATGTTGAAACATACGGTCATCGAAGCTACTTCCTGCCTTCAGCACTAAACTTGAACCTCTCGACGGCATTCAGAACATCATTTAGTCCACAAAATACCGCGAATTCGCCCTGAAACCTCAGGAAAAATGAAACCAAGATATCGCAGGAGAATAAATCGTTATCACCTTAAAAGGGGTCTTTCTGAAAAACAGGTCGAATACGGAATAACGCTCATGCATTTTCGACTTCCAATATACATAGCACATCTTTATTTCATACAAATCTAAAGCAATAATGTACAAAAACAAAACTAGCATATTTCTTGTGCTTTATAACAATAACAGCTTCGTTATCAGCAAAAATACATACTGCAGAACTCAAAACTTTATTCGAATCTATGAGAAACTAACGAATATTCAACATATTTGACGGCTAAATGGTAAACAAGAGAGGGTTACAGCAAACTTAACTATAGGATTAATCAAATGAGTTAGGATGGAACTAAAAACGTAGGCGTTTTTTACGACAGTTTCGCTCATAGTTTGGGCTACAGTTTTATTTGGTTGTTTTACTTGCATTATAATCGACTTGTTACCTAATCGGCAAACATTCTTTGCTTAACCTGCACCGAAAACCATAATTCTATGGTTATCCTGTCCCAACTGTAATCTTTTCGTTTTCCGTAGTAGTTCACATAACTTCAGAACAATCTCGAATTTCGATTTACAATTCAGGTCACCAATTGCGCAGATTATCGGCAACTGTCAGACTTGGACAAAGCAAAAAAAGTGAGCTCATGGATAAAAAATAGTAAAACATCCGAATGTAATGGTGACGTGAGACTTACAGTGATCTTCAAGCAGTTTGAGCGAGTTATAATCTCAAAAGCTTAATCCGTGAAAGGGTACCACAGCAAGTCCTTCAAAATTTTTTGGGAGCTTGCACATTACAGCTGATCACCTTCGCTGAGAGAGTGGTCGCCCTCTCACTGAGTAAGGAGAACTTGCACGTGATACACCATGCCACCATGTCATTACCATAGCATAAAAAATAGGTCATATGAACATGGAATCGCTGACGAAACGAGTTGTTCACAAGAAAGTGACGAGTACAGTCCGACCTGAAGAAAAGTTTTAAATGACAGCATCCATTCACTTTCTAACTCATTGTTACTCTATAAGTCGAAATGAACAAGTGAACGAACCGAATATGTTCACCATATGCAGTTTTGTTCATGTCACTCTGTCTAGCAGAACGTTGCAAAGTTAAAAATGAACTGCTGTATAAAAACGGGTCAACTAATAGTGAGTCATGTTACAAGCAATATGAAGGATTGGATATGAAAGACAATGACAGTTGAATGATTTTCATGTCATGTCGCGATGCAAATGCAACCTTCCTATTTTTCAGGTCTGTGAGTCCGCTTTACCTATACCACAAAGGTCCACTTAAGTTTTTCTAAGTGTATCGACAAAATGATTAACAAGTCATAACTGAATCTAGCAAAACTGAAGATCAAGATTATGCCACAATTTTTCAACGATCAGGCAGACAGCAAACAGCTCAGTGACACTTCGTCAACGATAATTAAAATGACCCGTGTTTTATCATGCCTTCTGAACGAAATACCGACTAACCAGTCAACTTTTGTTAGTAAACCCAATCTTTTTAAAGTCATATCTATAAATGCTATTGCTGCCGTAAAAAGTCTGATTCCTGATATTTTGCGACCCTTTTACCACTTTTACTGGAAGGTAAACGCTACTGCTTCATAAGACGAACGCAAATCAGCCTCCATCTTGTTAATTTGTGTTGTAAGCTGGCATTCTGAGCGACACCTGGCGTGTTCCGATTGCCATATAAGAAGCCCATAGGCCAAAGTCAAAGTTGATGTTCAACTAGTTAGTGTAGGGAGGATGACCTGTTTTATAAAATCAGAATTGTTGTTACCATCATCTTGGATACATTGTGCTCTTTGGAATCGGCTACCCCTGGTAAATGATGTCCAGCATGCAAAGATACCGTCTGCCGAGAATATTTCAACCAGGAAGAAGACGAATCTTTCAGTATAAAATTATGTCGCATATTGCTCATTATGGGTAACCACTGCTGCTATAGGCTGTTCAATCAATGTTCATGGTTAAAAGTAACTGCCGCCATCATCATCGGTTGAAAAGCAAAGTTGCCCAAATCGAAAAAGAAAGTGAAAGATTCCAAAAACTGGGATGTCGGCTTCCCTCTCTTCCACAATGAAAAAATCTGTGGTTTCGAAATCCTGGAGTATATGGAACAGTACTGAGTATTATTTCGAAACTATCAGACTAGTGTTTTCGGTTACGATGGTGATCTTTACAGTTATATGGTTAATGCAATGAGTAGGCCCCTCGCACTTTGAAGCTTGGTTATCTACCTCAAAAGAATTGAGGACGAATTACTCCAGGCGGGTTTTGAACTCACAAATTTGTCGAGTTCTACAGGCTGCCATCCGCCAATGGATGTGAGAGCTTGGCCTTTTGAGTCAAACATGCGAAGAAGTTGAAATATTTCGACTATTGGTTTTTACGAATCATCCTTTGAACACGACTTATTGATCTACTTATCCAGTGCCGCAATAAGTGCCCACTGCAACACTATCCAGCTCTCCACAGTTCAAAAACGAACGGCTATCGCGTTGTCTGGGACACGTACTAAGGCGTCAACCGGACGACGTCCGTCCAACCGAACACCGCTATGATCTCTAGATAGTACAGAAAAATACAGATAGATCTTGTGGAGTACACTGAAAACTGACACTGAAGTCCCCTCTAGATTAACGGTGCGCGGAATACACTATAGAAGGACCGGCTAAACTTAGTAATGGATTTTACGTGTGATAAACAGAGACTGATAGGCCGACTCCAAACTTCAAAATAGCTGCGGACAACAGAATAAAACGGAGGAAATCAACTCCGAACATCGTGTTGAAAGCATTTGAGAGACGGATCGAAACGTCGGTACTGACTAATCGCTCGAATGACAAATTTTTTTTAGTTGCGTCGTGTGTAAACCGTTTTTATCTTATTTTCAGTGTTTAATATAATCATCAATGTACAAACGAAATACTCAATCTTCGGAAACAAGAAACAACAAAAAACAGTTGGCGAAAAAATAACAACATTCTTAAAGAATCTATCGCCTTGAGACCAAACCTACCTGTCAATAACGGCTGAACGATAGGACTTAAAAACTGTTGATCAGCCATTTCCATACGCTGGGGTAAAACAGCGGCGGCACGAAGCTTTGATCAAAATTCTCACGACTCAAATCCTGATCCCGTCTCAGGCAAATTTTGTCACTCTAGAAATCAACGCAAAATTAACATATTCCTCAAAATGCGACCATTCGGCTAAAAACAAGTCTTGTAATACACGATTACGATACCCAAATGTAAACAACTATGGCAATGTTTACATTCGTTATTCCTGAGGATGTTTTAAAAAGCAACAACCTTACGCTCAATATTTTACGTTTCCGTGACTAATCAAGTATCAAGAAAATGCCCAATCGATCGATTACAGGACAGAATTCTTTCAATACAGTCGGAAATAAAAATTTTAATAAACGCATAGATTACAGATAATAAAGTACTACTGCATTATGGGGGCCAATTCAGCACAATCTGAGCAACATATCTCCTTGCGAAATTGTACTGCTTTGTTTGATGACCGTGTGAGATTTTCAACGCAAAACAGGATGAAAACTTCAAACTCAGTCACCATAAAAAACCTAAAACCTTTTTGCGTCAATATTAGAAACCGGAACTCCGCCGTTGCCGACCCCAAGTCCGGATGATAAACGAGAAGAAGCTGGGACCGCAGTAAAGTCTCAAGTAACACTTAGCCACCTTTCCCTCAACCTGTTTCTGGTTTCAAACGTTATTCAGTCATAGTTCCCCAACCGCCCCCCCCTTCTTCCGGAATATCAAAGGCCGCGTGGTCCGTCGCAGAAGAGAGGACACATTGCGAAAATTCGGTGATCAGAAACTGCTTCATGCCTTCTGGCAAGAAGCAGCACAGTGACAGCTGCTGAAGACTGACAAGAAAACCACAAAGATATTTTAGCAAAAAACCATTACCTTTCTGAACAAAGGAAAAACAGGGCAATGAAACTGCAGCACGTCAGATAAAGTGCTATGAGACAGAGGAAAATTCGAACACTTATTAAATCAGGAAAGAGCAGGAATTAGTTGAAGACGCCGAAAGGTATCAACTCGATATCACTAAACTCCTGTCAACAAAGTGCCAAAGCTATGGAATTCTGAACCCCTGCTGGATCAACCTCTGTGGAAACTATTCTACTCAGGTGTCGACATCACGACGCGTGGTTTAAACGGTGTTGGTGTTTTGGTTGATAGAATCCAACCTGGCTGATAGAATCATTGAATGAAACCCTGTCAGCGGAAGAGTGGCAATCCTCCGACTACAACAGGCTAAAACGATGACCTTCTTACAGATCCATGCACCTAACTACGAAAGAGAATATGAGCCTTTCCAGGAGAAAGTGCCGATTACGGAGTCAATCGTTCTAACAAGCGATTTTAATCAGCATGACGGAGTAGACACTGAAAAAATGGAAATACGTTCAGTGACCTCAAAAATAACGGCATGAAGTTGTTGCGGTTTTGTGCAAACAACGGATTGTCTAGTATGAACAC